ACGTGTGCTCTTCCGATCTGTTGTTTCTATGTAATTTTCTTCTGCGAAATCTTCATTGCCAAAGTTTTTCAAGTATTGACCATTAGTGCGTTCATGATAAACTTTTCTTTCGGCAATAATCTATGTAAATACAAGATTAATGTTTCTTTTACGAATTTATATGAATGATGCATTAATAACGTATTCTTACAATTAATATTTATAATTTATCTTGCAACATTTTTGTATACAAAAGTCTTAAAATTTATATCGTCCTTTTTTCAAAATAGATAGAACATTTAAATAAAATCTTAAGCAGTTTTCTTACCTTTCCGGTAAATCCATGTAATATCTTTAGAAGCTTTTTTTGCTCTCTACCTTTTGGCGTTAATGAAAATATCCAATCAAAGTACAGCCACGGCCTCATTGCTCTAATTGTAACAATTACAGAATGATAGATATGCTATTTTAAAATAATGATATAATTTTGTAAAGGAGAACTTTTTTTAATTTTTCTCCAAACTTTTGGAATTGTAGAATTAATAATATGTCAGTAAACATATAAAAATATATTTATAATTATAATAATAAACTTTTCTTACAGAGAGATACGTGTAAGATCGTATAAACATTAAACTTTTTTAACTTTTCAATCTTATTGTTAGATAAACAATCCATAATTACATTGAATTGCTTTATTTTTTTATGATACTATAGTATTTAAAACTTAAACAAATAAATTAACTGAACAAATGGTAAGTTAACATTATGAAAATTTTCAATTACCAACAATATTTTACATTAAATATTATAATTTATCTTAACATAATATTAACCCTAAAACCGTAATATTACTTTTTTGCCTCCTAACCGATGAACGTGGTACAAATGTATTCATTCTTTATCATAGCGTAAAATATTTTTTATGTGGATTAGAAGGTTCAAAAATAGGTCAATCTTTTCGTCTTTTAATGAGAAAGAGAATGGCGTAAATTATATTCAATTTCCTGAACTGGAAGTTATTAAGAAACAGATTTAAATAAAAAAGTGCCAAAAAATGACATTCTTCTTACAAAAATAGCTAACTTTTTTTTAAATTAACTAATTCCAAAATTTCGAACGCAGTTTTAAAGAAGATATATCAGGCTATGAGAAAAAAATATTCATTGTTGCGGTCTCTTAAAAAATATAATTATTTTGCTGAATATCGACAAATATCATAAATTGAAAAATGAGAAAGAAACAATGAAAAACTGCTATACATTTTTTTACACCTCTTTAATTATATTTTTTAATTAATTTTATAAAAATACATAGAAATATAAGTAGAATTTTAATAAACTTTAATCACGTTCGTTGCATAGGACTTAAAAAATCTGTGATTTTCACAAATCGGTCTTTGGCAAATGCTACAAGTCACACTGTTTTTCCGAATGTCTGACTTAGCGCAAAAAACGCATCTTGCCAACTTGCCAACTTGCTTAAATATATTACTTTAACAAAACAAACGAAATGACTTACCTGCATGAAACTGACACTAATAATCAATGAATGGGGTACAAGCGTACCCCAAGCAAACTTTAAATAATTTGTGTATCTCAAGAGCTAGCAAGTGAAACGACCGAATTAGCCTCACTTCTAGAAAGTGAAAATGAATTATGGGTGAAAGGGAATTAAGGGGAGACCGGAACTGGTTGATACATTCAAAATTGTTGCAAAATGACAAACTGTAATATTATATAAAAAAATATAATATTTCCGCAAAAACATTGCAGTCATGCTACAATAAGATATTTTAGACTGAATATCATATTTTCAGAAATAAAAAATAATTTCAGTTTTTGATAGCCACAAGTAAAATAAATCAGTGATATATTTAATGTTATATTTATAAATCTGCTTATTAAATTATAGTTCCAACTATTTTTTTAGAATCTTTACTTTATAAATAATAACTTACAGTTATTAACGTCTGAAAATATATATCTTGCTTAAGTAACAATTAAAATGTGTAAAAATGATAAGTTCGGAATGGTTGTGATGGGGTATGTTGTTACAGTATTTATTTTCGTTTTCAACCAAAACAAATTTAAAATAATGTTAGATTTCTGTAGTCTTTTCTTAGTGCAATCTTATATTTATATTTTTTTCCACTGTGGTTTATATAAGAGAGAGACTGATAAATATTTATGTTTATATCATTAATGTTACATTAATGTGTATATTTTTTTTGAAAATTACACATAAAATTATGTTATGCAGAATTTTTTTTATTTTCTTTAATTAAATGCGTTATATTTTGAAACCTGGATGTGCAACGACTGATTCCAGTAAATATAACAATTAACTCCGCATATGGGATCGGTTGTTACAAGTTGCATCACTTTACATTTTCCATTAATACAACAAAATTAATTATATTTTTAAATTATAAAAATAATATCTATGTTGTTGAAGCATGTGGCTATTGAAAA